TGCAAAATATGGATTAAAGCAACCATTTTTAAGAGAAACACCTTTGTAAAAAATTTGTAAATCCAATTTTATTTTCTTTCATTTTAGTTTCGCATAGTAGGCTTGTGCTATTCAAAATAAAATTGAACATCGCCTGTCACTAATGTCAATGTGTACAAGTGAGTTAAGTAAACTAGATTATAAGCTTCTTTTTGTCATTTTTACGCTTTAATTTTACAGAAACTTTAACGCCCTGTATCTCGTTAAGGAGGCATTTGCGACCCTATGTTTATTAAGACTTTTCGTCTTAATTTTTCAGGTATTACTTACCCTAGAAGTCTGTCCGCGGTTTTTTGAATCACTCTGTATATAAATATCTGGTGATTCTGCTGACGAATTATATTAGTTGTTTACTAGATATTACGGGTATAATTATATGCCTGTAGCCAGCAGAGTAGTTGTTTCCCACAATATCATTAGTCAAAAATACTAAAATCTATTTAAAACTGATCAGACCAGGATATTTTTGGCATCCCAAAATATATGCTTAAATTGTCAGCAAAAAGACGATAGAACCAAGTTCACGGGAATAAAATTATTTTTTTAATATCCTGAGGCACTTGATTTTATGGTATGTTATTTTGAAGGTAATTATTTACTTTAGTGGCACCACCTCCAATTTTCACAAAACATTGTCTACCCCCCCCTATTTTAGATGGTGCTGAACACGAATCTGAAGTTTTTTTGTTCGGTCTAACCCAGTTTTTGAGAAAAATTTTTTTCAAAATTCCAACCTGAATATTTCAGATAACACTGCGTAGAACTGTATGGTAATTATTTACTTTAGTGGCACCACCTCCAATTTTCGCGAAATTTTGTCTACCCCCCTATTCTCGATGATGCTGAACACGAATCTGCAGTTTTTTTTGTGCGGTCGAACCTAGTTTTCGAGAAAAAATTTTTTCAAAATTCTAACCTGGATATTTCAGATAACACTACGTACAACTCTGTATATTTTATGTAGCTTTCCAGAACATCTGTTATGAACAATTAACACTGTTCACGAAACACATTTTCGTAAATTTCAAGTAAAAAGATATGTATTTAATAAATAAAAATTTTGTAGTTTGAATCCGCCATTTGTAATTCGTGATGACAACATTGAGTTCCCCCACTCTCATTCAACTCTGTTCATCCCACATAAAGTTACTATAATTTTATTTATTAAATACATATTTTTTTAGTTCAAATTTTGGGAAAATGTGTTTCTTAAACAATGTTCATTGTTTATTACAGATGTTCTGAAAGCTACATAAAATATACAGACCGCACAAAAAAAATTTCAGATTCGTGTTCAGCACCATCGTAAATAGGGGGGTAGACAAAATTTTGTGAAAATTGGAGGTGGTGCCACTAAAGTAAATAATTACCCATATTATTTTAGATACTCAAATTTCAGGTTCTAAAATTAAGCAAATTAATTTAAGATTTTCGCTAGATTCATAATTTTAAAAAATTTCCGATGATTTATTTCAACAAAATTATAAATCGAATGAGAAATGAAACTATTAGGATTAAAAAAGAAAACTTACGGTGCCCATAACGGCCTCGTCCACCTGCGGAATAGGAACAGACCAATCCACGACCACAGGGCCATCCCACAGCCTCAGAGACTTCCCGAACTTCGCCCGGAAATGGGCGGCTTCCTCGTGCGTCCTAAACTCCACGAAAACGAATCCGCGGTTCTCGGCCCTGTCGCTGTAGCTCCGGTACATGATAACGTCGATGATGTTCTTCACGCCCTTTGAGCTCAGTTCCTGCCAAACCTGATCCTTACGTTTATAAGTGGGTATTCCCCCGATGAACAATCGGCAATTATTCAGGGAGCTTTCGATAGTTAGATAGTGGGTGCCCTTGTAGGGCAAAAGGGTCAACGCGGTCACGGCTTTCTTGGCGATGGAAGCGTCGAAGAAGGTGACGTAACCGAAGCCGCGGTTCAAAGTTCCATCTTCGTTCATCATCAGTCGTATCTGGAAGACTTCTCCAACGGTTTGGAAAAACTTGAGCAAGTCGTACTCCGTTTCCTCTGATGGAATGTGACGGACAAATACCTCCGAGCCGTTGTCAGGGAGGAAACCCCTCTTTTTCATTGGAGAATACAGTAGCTTTTGAAATTTTACAGTTTCCGAAACATAGTCACTATTTGTATCACTCATATTGAATTTTTCGAACCCACAACTAACACGAGAAAAACAATAAAATTGAATGATGTTTAAAATTAAGATTCAAAAAATTAACTAGTTTCTAGTATCTCTATCTAAATTCTTGGAAGGGGTTCTGACAATCACACGCAATTGGAGCTACGGTTTTTCATCTCGCTTTCTCATTGGTTACATTCTTCCTTACTGCGACGTAGTTGCGGGACACCTGCAGGATCGCCATAAATTAGTCGGGCCCTTTATGGAAAATCGGAAACCCCGTCAAAGCTTTGAACGTCCAGATAAACAAATAATGAGAAATATTTTGCCAGGGGCGTAACATATTTAATTAAGATTACAATTCGTCTATCATTCGGAAATGAGGGGTTGCATTCAAGTACATATTTACAAACCACCAGATTATTATTTAATAAAAAATAAACAGTTCCAGTACAAATAATCGGAAATTTTTAGAAACAATTGCATTTTTTTCAAAGAACGCATTGTTACATTATTGTTATGACATTTGTCACGTGAAGTGAAATGTTTGTTACCTATTAAAAATAAAATTTTTATTTTATAATTTTTAAGTTTACACAAAAAATGCTGCATTATAATGATTTGATGCAAAAATTATGTTTTAACAGATCATAAAGAATACCCCCATATATTCACAACTTTAAAGGTAAAAACATTTTTATCTCTCGGTCGAATAAACGTCACTGTTTATTTTTTTCTATACCTAAACAGTAGAGATAGTATTTTCCAAGTTAAATGTAGAGAATAATATTATTTTTGCAAAATTTGTACATAATAAGATACGAAATGATTAAAAATGTTTTTATAAAGAATTTTGTGAGTTGCGCTACTGACTAGGCTTAGAATTTGGATTGAGAATACCTATAAGTTGTTTGTCCATTTTTTTGTTATAAGCGGCGGGGCCTTTTCGAGGCTTGTGGCACGTGTGTAGTAACAAACAGGACTGTACCTATGAAAAATTCTAGAAATTAGGAATATGGGTATTCAGATCAGTTGCATCACATTGCATAGATTAGAATTTGTTAGGTTAGAAAAATAGGAATGTGTCTGCATACAGGGTGTATAGATAAAACTGAAAACTTTTTGAAATACAAGGTGTTAACGAAACAAGTACTCAAAATCTGAGTGTTTAAAACATGCCGAAATGTGATGAAAACCTCAACAATTTCATACATTTATTTTGCATTAGGAATTTTTGAAATGGATTTTACTAGAAAACGGTTCATGCTATTAAAATCTAACAAGGGTACCTTTTTTATGCAATATATGATAAATTTTCATATGTATTTTCGGTTCAGGATGTGGAAAAAATTGCGTACAAAAAAATTGCAAAATTTGCCCCATAGTCCCGCATTTTCTTACTCCCCTGTAGTAAATTTTGATTTGTATATTATACCGATTATTAAGCATACAAATAGTAATACAACTCCAAAATTTCGTGATTTAATATTAAACCGTTTTGAAGTTATGAAATCAAAACTGTTTCCCGAGTTACCCCTTAGGGGCCGCCACTGACAAAAACTCTATTAAGGTTTTCATCTTATTTCGACATATTTTACATACTCTCAAATTTTGAGTACCTATTTCGTTAACACCTTGTATAAAAACGCTTTCTTAAAATTGAAATACAGGGTCGGAAAGTTCCCATGGTTCATCGGCCGTTACGTGAGAGCGATAGAGGAAGTCATAGAAATCCGTGCGATAGAGAAAGATGAAGGCGTCTAATAGTCACCGCCCATTTCGCCATTCCACAAATAAGATCCACTTCTTATTCTCTATCGCACGGATTTCTATGACTTACTTTATCGTTCTCACGTAATGGCCGATGAACCATGGGGACTTTCCGACCCTGTATACATATTTCCTGAAAATATTTATGAAACATTTGAGACAAAACAACGAAATAAATGCTAAAGAGAGAAAAACAAGTATCTAGTTTAATGGTTTTCCTCTTTGATTATACAGAAAATTCGTGTATATATTTTCTATATCAAGTTCTTCAAAACTGTGCGTCCCCATATTTTTTAGTAAAATTAAATATTTCTTAGTCAATATTCCAGTCTTACATTTTTTTAAAATTTTAGTTAAATAGGTGTTGAAAAGCGAAGTTCACAAAAGTATGAGGTAAACTGTACCGTGAACTATTTTTTTATACATTGCATTATGCTCGTTGTTATTTAATTACGGATTTTATCAATTTTATTTGCTAGATCTCGTGAAAACGTTTTGGAGATATTTCCCATCCTTATCTTTCCCCAATTTTTTTTTTCAATCAAAATATTATTCTGGTCACTCATAACGAATCATGTACAGTCCGTGTAATATTTGTTAACATAGAAGCCAGTAAAGTTCTGTTATCGGAACTATTGCAACAATTTACCACGGCTGACGCGTGCCTTGAAATTTCCCGCGTTATTTTCAGAATATTAAAATAATTATACGCGTTAAACACGGTGCTCTTCGACAAGAAAATTAAATTCCTTTCTTTTATTTTTCACCTCCATTGACTTATTTAACAAGAAATTACACTGAAAATGCACAGGACGATACACTTACCTCGGGTGTTGAATGCGGTTAATTCCAAGAAAGTGACGCAGGAATTCTATCTCGACAAACATCGTACGGACTGTACCTTGTTAAAAATAACCAAGTACTTAAATCTCACTTGCAAAAAATTGATCGTTTTATAAAATATACCAAAAAGACAATGTGTATGAGTGTCACCGGGAAATGAAACTACGTTTTTAAAATGCTCTATATTTGAAAGAATATGTATTTGAGTAACAAAATTCATAAATTGATAGGAAAATATACATAATCCATCCATTGTCATCCATCACGATATCCGTTATCATTCAGTCGGTCAAAACGGAGCTCTGCAAATCAAAGGACATAGTTTTAGTAATAGAAAAACGTTAAGAATTATTTCGTTACTATTTTTTTTTATAAATACATATTTCTCTAAAATTATTAACCTGGGAATTTATTATAAGATAATATAACATTGAAGATAAATAAATAAAAGATAGGTGATATGTATTTAGTTTCTAGCTTAGGTATTCAAAGGCACTTGTCGAAGCCGCCATTCCTATACGAATTTTTAGGAGGGGCCTGGCCATCAGGTATAGCCTAGCAAAAGTCGTCCCTCTTTTACAGCTGCCATTTTTGTTTGGGTACTTGAAATAAGTGTCAGTCAAAGCAAAGCAGTCGCAATTGTAATGACCAAAATTGAATAAAAATGACACTTGTCCAGGATGGCCTATTTAAAGAACGGAAATTTAGAAATTTATACATAGATATTGACGAATAAATAGGTCACCCTGTATCTAATCGTATCGTAATTTAAAATGATATTTTTTGACGCTGGAAATAGTGTCCAATCCAATATTTCATTAATCATTATTGTTGATGTTTCCAATGTATTTGTAATATAAGCATGTAAATGTATGATAAAAAAAATGTGAAAGGGTTTACATATGTACAGGATGTTACTCAAATGTTTCATTAAACTCTTTAAGGTGGCCATATTTCTGGCCGAGAAATAGTGAAATTTCTGGCGTTTTTAGATACTGAAATCTTTAAAAGTAAAACGTGTAGAACAAAAGTAAGCACAAAAATAAAATCCTTGATGTTTTGTTTATTCATTGTTACCATTTAAATTTACTCAAATAAAATAATAACTAAAAAAAGCGTTTGTAAAACATGCGTTTGCTGTTATCCTAACCCCACATTTTAAGAATTATTTTCACGTACTTATAAATAAAAGTAAACAATTTTATATGTAGGACTAAGCAAGTAAATAAGTAAAAAGAATATTTACAAGTGGAATGATATACAAAAAAGTTAGTATTTCCGTAGATTTCAGTACCTAAAACCTTGATGGTTTGATCGTTTTTTGCACCTGTTTATTCGTTTTACTACGGCGTCTTTGAAAATACTCAGGTGGCATGACATAACATTCCTATTATTTGATAAGCTTTAGATTATTCAGTTATTAAATGTTCGAAATTATTTGTCTTTGCGAAAAACACTATTTAAAGAATATGGGGCCCTTAACGACGGATAACAAACCAACAAAAAGAGTTCCTACAATATATCAGCGGTCAGAAAACGTTTCGTTTTCGAAGTGACTTTTTTCAAATTTATTACGAAGTTTTTTATTACGTAATAGGCCTGATGCACCTGCCGGATTTTTTATTTTAGTTCATATATTTAAATATGACCTTATTTAAAATTATTAATTATAAAATCTTTTGTGAAAAATTCGACTCGAAAATTGACTAAATCCTACATTGAAATTTGCTATTGCTGCGACGTCATCGGTAAGTAAACTGGCCGTTCCACATTAAAAAACGAAGTCGGTCCTATGACTTCTTAAAAATATTTTTTATTTTTAGTTTACATACGATACGATAACTATACTGATGTGCTGTTATATTTACTAACTGGTTTCCATTCTGTTATGTAGGTTAATATGCACCTATGTAGCAAAATAATTAAGTCTGTGTAGGTATAATATTTCATTTTTACGACGTTTAGTTCAAGTGAGCTTTCCGCGCGTAGCATAATATTATTTACTACCTAAATAATATTTTGAATCTTAATTTGTTATTTTAAATAATCATTAGTTTTTAGTTTTTTTAAAATTCTCAAGAATATTTGTAACATGACCGAACAAAGTTATGCTAAAGCCTAATCAGACAATTTACCGAATTCCATGATGATTGCGGAGTTTTTTCGAAAAGCATTTCATTTTCTTCGGCAGAAATAAGAGGAATAAAAGCAAACAGGTATTAGAATGTGATTTATAGGTATCTACATAAATTTATTTTAAAATACATTTTTTTCTGGCGTTTTTACTGATGTATTTTCACACATCGGTACAATGCATCAGTAATAGTATGGTTTAGATAGAGGGATTTGCCATATTTATTATAAGTTTAATTTAAAAAATTTACGGTATATACAGGGTAGGAAAGTACCGATGGTCTATTTGAAGTTACGTGAGAGCGATAAAGTAAGCCATAGAAATCCATGCGATAGAGAAGGATGGCTATAATGAAGGCGTCTCATAGCCACTTCCACTTCTTATTTGTGGAATGGCGAAATGGGCGTTAACTATTAGACGCCTTCATTATAGCCATCCTTGTCTTGTCTTCTATGGCTTTTTCTATTTCTATAGTTTTTTTTTTATGTTATTACCAACGTCAATGAAGATGCCATCTTAAAAAATTTTAAATTATCATAACTTCTAAATTGATTTCAATAAATCTTGGCTCATTTTAAGGAACTATTAATAAAATTTATATTTATATGGGAATAATAATATTATTTTCCTGGGCAACGGTAGACGACGCTAATTAGAAACGGATAGGTTAGGTAGCCATAAAAAAACCATATCGTTGCATTTAATTTTTTAGTAAACGGAGACAATTACAAAACTTTTCTGATTAGCGTCATCTACCGTTGCGGAGGAAAATAATATTTTTATTCCCATATATCATAAAAATAAATTTTATTAATAGTTTTATAAAATGAGCCGTCGTTTCTTGAAATCGATCGAAAAAATTTCAAGATGGCGTCCTTCATATTGGCGTTGCTATGGTAATAACAAAAAAAGTTCGAACAAAACTTGTGAAGGGTTTAACAGTGTATCAAAAAGTGTATCTTCAACTTTGGTTATATAAGTGATATTTCGAAAAAACGACAATTTTCCGTAATATTGTAGCAGTTGCGCCCCCTAGCGGTGAAGTTACAAACTTGAAAACATTTTAAATCAATTTCTTTTGGCCTTATTTATTAAAATCCCATTTTTTACCTCATAATCGTAGCACGTCTAGTTTCCTATGTACAGCGGATCCGTACCGTTAATGGACCACCCTGTATATAGTTACATGAATATTTATAACAAAAACTTACACAGCCCGGTACTCCACTTATAAAAGAATTGTAATCGGTAGACAGTACATCTGTGCGATTCAGGAGACTATTTGAAGTAACATCGGCCACTTTTTGAAATACCAGTCTCCTGATGTTCGGTGGGACCGATCTGAACAGAAAAAATTATTCAGAAACATTCCAAGAACGGAAAAGAAACATTTTAACGCGCGACGTCCACATACCTGCAAAAATTATCTGGGGTATTGGAAAGTCTGAACTTCTTGCTAAAACGCCTTGGTCTCGCCCATTCGATTGCCATGCTGTGATGGTGTTCGTCCTTATCAGAAAGTACCAGTCCTGTAAAATGATGCAAATAAAAAATATAAACGGGTATTTCATATCTCGAAACATATTAAAAAAAAAACAAGATTGATTTTTATAAATGTGTTAACTAATTTATTTTTAGTAGTTATAGATAATTAACAAAATATATCCATCTCCATTAGAATAACTAACCTTGGAGCTTTTCTAAAGCAAGTTCTGCAGAGCGACGGTTCACGAAGTGCGCGAAGGCATAATTCTGCATCTTGTGCACTTTTTTCACCAGCTGAGCACCGACTGCGTTGCATATGATCGTATGAATTTCCTCCGATGTGTAGTCTAGTGGTATATTTTTTAAATATAAGATGGAAACCTGAAAAAATGATATTAATATGTTAAAACAAGTTGTACATAGCAAGGGCGTCGCCAGCCAAAGGGTTGGGGGGGGGGGCAAGATAAGAGAGAAGATGAGAGAAATACTTATAAATTCTAGGTAGAAATATAGGTACAGTGAATTAATTTTTTTTAGAAATAGTTTTTATAAAACCTTTTAATACAAGAAAAACAAAAAAAAATAAAGAAATGAAACGAATATTAGGCGAACATAATAAAGTCTAAGTTTACAGTGTACTTATCTATAATTTAAAAACAGATAAAAATTTAAGGGTCGAATAATAACCTTCACAATTCAAGTTTAAAGCTATAAAGGTAAACCTAGTTTTAAATATACATGGTGATTCACAAATGGTGACCAAAAATGAAACTTCGTATTCTTTGGTGAATTTCGTTAAAAAGATACAGGGTGCTACACTTCAAAAAATATTTTTAATTGTTTTTAAATAATTTAAAAACTACTAATAAGTGAAATAATTTGAAATTGGGCACATGTATTTATGTAAACATTGTCCAAATGTTGAGAGCTTTTCCTAAAATTTACATGTTCCAGTGGCGGAGATACAGGGTATCGGTGGCATATTTTTCTAAATAAAATAGTGCGCCACTGCTTTACGGTAACAACCATGATATTTTCGGATTCGTCTTTCAATTTTTCGAGTAAAACTTAGAAAATGAACTGAAAACACACTTCGACATTCGAATAAATGCGGTTTAAAATTAGAAAAAATAAATAATGCTTTTCATCAGATTCAAGCAACAATAAATTTCGAACAAATTACATTTTCATTATTAAAACGATGTCGCGCCGGTGTTCGTGCAAATGACCGTATTTTTGAGCATCTACTCGAATAAAATCATTAAAATGATGACTAATGTTATTAATTTCTTTATTTGAATAAATAACCGAATGATTAGTGTTTGTCATGTCATTTAAGGAGGTTTATCTAATTTGGAATTGACGAACAAATATTCACAAAAAAATTGATATAAGCTTATTAATATGAAAAATATGTAATTATTGGAAAACTAATATGTGTCATCTGTCATTGTTTTATTTTACACAAATGACATGAGCCACCTGTGACTGCATGTTTTAATAACATTTGTTAAAATGCGGTTCGTCTCTGACCCTTATAAGATTTACCAGTGTACAATTTTTTTCTGTAGTTAATCATTCTTTTTTTTATAATTTATTGTTTGTTAGTTAGTATATGATGTGAATAAAGCTATTATAACAATATTTTAAAAGAATATTTTTGTCTCAGTGTGATTTAAATAAAATAATAGATTTTCCTGGTATATTATTCATTGCATATTGAAGTCGATATATCTCGAAAACAAGTAAAAGTAGGGAAAAACTTTATATTACAAAAATTACTCAAAATTTAACGATCTTTCAGATGGACTGTATTTCCACGTTCCAGAGAACAAAAAATTTTTTAGTATCGTCACGCCATCTATACAGAAAGATTTGAACTAATAATTCTAATTCCAATTTGAAGCTATCCGATGGACGTAACAACCCCAATTTCCGAAACTAAAATAAATTTCTTCATTTCGGAGATATCGGCAACGGGAGTGTTAAATGGCACACCCTGTATAGAGCTTTAATGGCACTGTTAAACTTTTATTCTGATTCCGATAGATAAAAATTTATTTTCTTTAATTTAAAATTCCAGAGCTAAATTTTTAAATGTATTACTTTTTAACATAATATTTTATATTTTTAAATTCTTTTGTCAATAAATATTTAAACTAATTTACAATTGTTTTTTTAAAAAAATAAAGTAGTGTATTAATTTAATTTAAATTTAACTAAAAAATTCCAATCTAATATTTTCTTAGCTAAAAAAAATGTTTGTACTTTTTCGAATTTCTAGGGGGCGAATGGATTGAGAATTGAGATTAGTGTGTGTATTAAAACTTGAAAATGTGGTTCGAAAGAAGTGTTATATTTTTTTATTACGGTACCCATAAAAAAGTGGGGTCACGCCAAGGATTTTATACAAGAGGATTGCTCGATCCCATTTAAGCCTATGTTCGCCAAATAAAATGTCAAACGCTCGAATACGTGACGTCACTACGTTACCTCCGTGCTATGTTTACATGTGTAAAACGGCTCATTTTCCTTACTTTCCGTGTGGTTTTTGTGGATTATTGTTCGTTTAGAGGATTTATCGTCACTGTTATTATTAATTGACGTTATATACGTAGTTTGTTGTTGTTAGTTCGTGTTAACTTATTAATATAGTTCGTTACCATTGTGTTTGTGGTAGTTTAGTGTTCAGAGACTTTAAAGCCTGCAATAGACTTTTAATTTTACTCAAAAGGTAATAAATTTAATATATTTTTTTAGGCATGTATATAAATACTTAAATTTCTTTGTTTTTAGGTTAATCTTTAAATAAAAAAAAAGATGCCTGGTCTTCGATGTGCAGTTTATGGCTGCAATAACAGTTTTGTTGGGGTAAAAGCCAAAGGGAAAGATATCGAATTTTTTCCATTTCCAAAATCTAATAATTTACTCTCACAAACAATTTACAAGGAGTGGATAAATCGTTGTAAGAGGCAGGACAGTTTTAATCCGAATCATAGCCGAATATGTTCTATTCATTTTACCAGTAATGATTTTGAGAGAGACCTGAAGAATGAACTTTTAGGTTAGTACATATAACAAGTATTATAATATTGGGTTTCTTTTAATTTAATGAAAATTACTTAAGTAATGTGTTTTTAGGATTACCTACAAAAAAAAAAAGAAAATGGCTGTTCCCATGATGCATTTACCACTTCAGAGTAAAAAAATGTGTACTTCATCCAGAGAGAAGAGACTATTAATCCGGGGAAAAAAAGCAGTTGTGCAAGAAATTTTAAAACGGAGCAACACAGAAAATATACCTGAAACTGCAGTTCCTTTTACTTCTGAAACTCTGGAGTTTAGTGTACTTCCTTCTGGTGATATGTCAGTGTGCTCTTCAACATGTACAGATTATGAGAATTTGTACAAAGAGCTTTCTGTGAAATATAATACTCTAATTTCAAAGTATGCAGAACTTAAACGTTCTAGTACAAGCAGAATAAAAACGTTAAATGATCAACTGAGATATTATAAAGATAAACAGTGCCGTGCTCTGATTACAAAATCAAAAAAACCAGATCCCTCAACAGCTCTATTAAAAAAAGTTTTAACAGATAATCAAATCGCTTTGCCTATGCCTATGTATTGTATTCCATATCATTTCATGAATGCAAATTAAAATAAAAAATTAGTAAGGTGCGAGTTTTTTTTCTGGACCTCGTTAAAAATTTGTAAAAGTATGCGGACTGCTTAAAATTACTTGCCGACCCCTGGTTTTGGTGCTTAATTCAACTGTAATAACTTTTTTAGAAGTGCTTTAGAAGAATTTTAATAGAACTTCAAAATTGACTACCTACCCTAAAATATATAAATCAAACAATAAACAAATGTTTAATCAAGAAGCAAGTTTTAGCTTCACGCAGCGCTCCCATATTTATAAGCCATGCAAACTGTTGGTCCTGCTCGTGAAAGAATATACTATTTTACCGAGTGCGGTTTTATCCAGTCCAATAATTAATATTTTTCCTATCAATTTATCCTAATATTTATCCTTACGTAATAACTTTATTGTTCATAGGTTGTATGAGCAGCGATATTCAAATGGTAGGTATGTGTATTTGTAATTCAAACAAAAGTAGTAAAACGACAATCTTTGTATATTATATTTTTGGTAACTTTTTTAACTCGGTTCCCTATTTATTATATCTAAAAAATATATTTCTAAATAAACGGCTACAATATTTCTCTAATCGCTGTGCAAATTAAACCACCTAAATATTCTAATATTGTAGGGACATGCCACTATTTTTAATGTATGTTTAATTATTTGTCAATATTACTAAACATAATATGTTTTTAAGGAATAGGTTAATTTTTTCTTTCAGTGTTAAAGTTCCCACTAAATTGAGGTAACATAATGACGTCACACAACATAACCTAGTTTCGCGGAAATAAGTTTGTTATTGAGCAATCCTCTTGTATAAAATCCTTGGGGTCACGCAACAAATTCTTTTTGTGTACGAGACACTAAAACTTTGTTAAAATATATTTAAAAATAGGTCATCTTCTTAACGAATTGGAATTGACCTTGAGTTGACTTGAATATCTTTCGAGCAACACATAAAAGACGAATAAAGGAACGCCCTGTATAAGAACTTGAACACGTTAATAAATAGAGCAGTTTTAGTTTGATTTATGAGTGATGGCTTTGATTTCATTGGTAGCTTAAAACAAAAAGTACGAATATGAAATTGAATTGATCTGTCTGCAAATACTAAGTAAATACCTGCCTACAAGTCTAGTGCATTTCTCTTACCTTGGCCATAATCTTCGGGTGAACATCAGGCAGAGGATCAGCCCAATCGACGTAGAGGGTTTGTCCCCACGCTAAGAGATTATCAGGGGCAAACTGTCTCCTGGCCATGGCGGCCATACGGTGGTTCTCGAATTCGACAAAAGCAAAGCCTCTGTTCAAATGGGGCTGCGTGAAGTCACTGTACATGATAATTTCCACGACTCCATCAACGTACTGGCAGAACATGTCCTTCACGTCCCTCTTCGTCACCTTCAGGGGCAGGTTTCCCACGAACAACCTGCGATTATCCACCGACTTGAATACCCCGATCCGCAGGCCACGTCGGATCTCGTACCCATCCAGGTGTTGAACCGCCAAGTTGGCGTGCCTCTTGGAGAAGTAGGTGGCGAAGGCGAAGCCGCGGGTCTGCTCGCGGAAGTTCAACATCAACCGGAACTTGTAGAGAGGCCCGATGGTCTCGAATATGGGGATCAGCTCGTCCTCGAAGATGTTCTTGTGCAGTTTGCCTATAAACACCTCGCAACCCCTGGGGGGTGGCTGTATGTTTCTCTTCGCCGGAGGCGCGTACACTCTCTGACCGTTGACCTGCATGATCTCGTAGCCGGTTTTTTCGACCAAGGCGAACAGTTTCTTCGCTAAACGGTCGTTGTTTAAAAAGTCGAACCTTGGCTTTTTCTCCAGCTCATGAACAACGACCATCGTGACCACGCACTAGACCACTTGCAAATCCGGGATAGGAATAAGCTATTTTGTCTCAGTCCAGGAGCAGTGCGGTGCCCCCCCTATGGATGAGGTCATTATTTACGAGCGGGAGTAGAGGCTATTGGTTTGATTTGTTATTACCATATACTCGGGATAAAAACTAGTTATTTGCTCCATCAGGTGTTCGCATTTCGTGGAGATCAAAGTCGAACGAGAATGGAAGACAGACAATTTATATATTTCTGGGAACACTGTTTCTTTGTTCTAGAAATTGAACTTTTATTCTAAATATCTCTGTTTAAATTAGACATTATAAATATTTTTATAAAGCAATTTTTATAAAAGGTGTTATTCTGTCACATAAACAGAGGTGATTATTGTTACGAAACTTAAAAATGTGTACTTAAAATGTATTTAGTACACTCATGTTTTGCACAGGATGTTGTGAGTGGAATGTACCGTATTCCGAATATTTTTCAATGAAATTTGGTATATGCAGGTTTTTGGGGTAGACGAAGACAAACAAAAAATTATTTTTCACCAAGGCATGGGGCAAGTTAAGGATACCTAGAATAGTCTTGTTTTTTTTGTCATATTTTTTATGTTGGTGAAGATTACGGGCCAACATAGCGTCATTTTATTTACAGAAAAAAAGTTACCTACGTGCTTCATATCGCTAAAATGCGTTGTTCCAGATAAAAACGGATTTTAATTTTCTGTCACAGTGACGGATTTATTTATCACGGGGAGCTCAATATTTTAATCTGATTGAACTTTATCCTTTCGCAAAATTTGTAGCCATTTTAAATGTTTTGTATGACTAATGATATTTGAATAGAGATAGATTAGTCTACGGACAAGTTTTTTCATTTCTTAATAAATTTCGACAGCTGGAAAAATTGTCCCTAAATAATAAAAAAATATATAATTCACCCAAATCAAAACAATTTTTTTTTAATCATATCAAATGAAGACAATGTTCCTCGATACCAGAAATCTAGGTACCTACTCAAAAAATATCCAACCCACAGACAAGATCTTTACAAAAATATACATCTGATACTGATAGGTATATTGAAATTGTTACATAAAGGCGGAAGTACACATGCCTCTTGCTTGCACAATAGCATGCAAGTAGCTTGCAGAAGATAGCTCCTGGTATGTGTATTTATTAAAAAGCATGCCTGTAGAAGGCGCTCAAGTAAATTGCACATCATTTGATTTTTTGGCATGCAATGTGGGGCGGGGGGTTTCGGGGGAGTTCAAGTGGCATGTCGGAACGTGTCTACATGCTACCTACTGACATGCCAATAAGCCATAATACTAACGAGGCATTCCATTTTACTTGCAAATGTATCAGCAGTGTGCCATCCATTATGTAGGTATTAAACAAGGTTATTAATTATTAAACTTAAGATATATCTCATGTTTTTAGGTCACTCTATTTCATATAATCCCATGAAAAATAAATAAAACTCGCAATCTGAATGTTCGATTTTTTTTTAATCCTGGAAAAGTATACTTCCCTGTCGAGAGTTTCAAAATATATAAACATCTGCAGGTTACTGTACGTATATATAGGTAACAACAAATCAATGAAATGGAAGTTGCGTCCACTCTTCTTTGGCTATTACCCGAAAGGTGGCGCGTACAACAACTTAGAAGTCAGAGCCAGTACTGGCTCTGCTAGAAGCTGCCACTTAATCATTTTATGAACTAATATGTGTATATTGTGTTGCGTCGACATCCGATTTTCTTTTTCAAAAATGATTGTTCCAATAGTACACATATTTTTCCAGGAATTTAAATTTAGAGTGTTTCTCTTGTAATGACGTGTCGTATATGCGACGTAGGAAATCCAGAGGCACATTGCATTGTCCACCGCTACGAGATCTCTCGGGCTTTCAGCAGCGTTCCTCTTCAGCAGGGAGCGTTAATTAGAGTAATGACGATTGCGTCGCCCCTCGCTCTTCCCATACAGTGGCGGTGCTGAGATAATAAGAAACGTGAACAGTTCTTAACCTACAAAACTGGCGGGGCTCTCAATTAGCGCGAAGTGCACTTCGCAACTCCAATTCTCGATATTCATCCTGGGGGTTCGCATTTACTAAACTTTCGAGAGAGTTCCATAAATAAAAAAACTGATATCTGAACTCTTTGTACTCAGTTTTTGAATTTTCATTAAAACTTAATTTTACTTCAGCTTTTGAACCATTCGTGTGACTGAATTTATCAGAATTTTCAAGTACCAGGACCGTGTTGAGAAAATTCCAATTATTTTGCGGCTCTTTCGAAAACTTCGTCCCGTATATTTTTTCTGTTATTTCGCATAGCACCTCAACCATTGAAAAAAAAAAATATGCATTTAATTTTTTTGCCACTCTTCACTCTTCATTTTACGATTCCCCACAGGAAAAAGTCGCGTGACATAAGATCGCATGATCTTGGTGGCCAAATCACTTCACTGTTACGTGAGATGAGTCGTCCATTAAATTTCTGCCGTAACGTGTTGTATGGCAGGTGGCACCATTCTGCTGGAATCACGTCATCCAAATCTATGCCATCCAAATAAGGCAACAAAAAATTCAATAGCATCTCTCGATATCGTTCTCCGTTGACTGTCACTGCACAGACAATATAGCAGCTATTTTGTCTGTGGTCATTGTGTTTCCAGTTTCATTTTCAAAAAAGAACGGATCAATCACCCCATCAGTGTAAAGTCACCACACCACACTGTCACTCTGGCCTGTTTTTTATTGTCTACAACTGTTTGTACAAATTTGTCAAATAATCTTTTCACATTTGTTTCATTAGGGGCGTCTTTTCTACGGAAAATTCCACGTAATTTGCGCACGGTCTCAGCTACATACTCTCCGTACCTGTAATGCATTTTCACAATTTTCACTGGCTCATTCGTCGTATAGCGCTCCATTTTCTCTAACTGCAGCCTGTTTACTACAATATGTGTATAAGCGAACGAATAGTACTTAAATTATGAACATTACGATGATGATGCTAAAGGTACGTTTACACCTACCGACGAACGCGAAGTGCTTATAAAATAATTTATACAACAAAATTATTGTAATAATGCAGTTTTCAATACTTGTCTTTAAAACCTCTGCATACAATTAAAAAGTAACCCACCGGACTGGATTTGATAAATAGTGATGGTTACCAAGTGAACTATTAAACCGGCGATACGCTTAGACAGCTGCGAAATAATTAATTAGTCGAGATTCCTCGACATTAAATTAATCATCCGTTCGATAACAGGGCCCATTAAGGATGATTGTAAAATCAAACGCGGTCAATTACTATCGATTCCAGGTTAAGTGTCGTTCCTACATGTATTCAGTCCATTTATCTTGCGGCCGACCGACATTCAATCAACTTCTGCCCTTTGATTCTCGTTCATTATCATTAGGGCCCAGCAGAGTGATTATTACATACGAGGTATAACGTTCCACACAACGGGCAAGTAATACAGAGCTTTCATAAAGGATTATAAGCCACGAGATCAGTAATTTTGTTTCCTTCACGTTGGCAAATAAATTTCGGTGAAATTAAAACAATAATTCATCGGCTGTTATTGGTGTAATTTTTCACGAGATTCTACTCGACCAACCGCATTATCTCGAGCGTAGACGTAACGGTTTGCCATTGTTCATTGTAAACGAGTCATTAATATTGGTGATGCCAAGTTTTATTAACTTTTTAACTGTTGCAAACTTACATACGAATAGTTTCAAAGCACCTATGATTTAGAATTATAACTTTTGTTGTGTAAAAAATACTTTCTGGTTCTTTTATTGGAACAATAATTGGTAACGATTCATTTTAACATTTAACCTTTCATTTTAATGAACGACTATCAATTTCTAACATTCTCATATAATGATATAATTGGCAAACAACAAAAACTCTTCGAAGTCGAGTCTGAATAGATTTAGGATACGATAAACAAGATTTTCTTTACTTTTCGGGGGAGTTTTCACCGGACTCAGTCGCTTGGATAACGAGATTGACCCAGTTCCAGTAGAAAGCTGTATTTAATGTATTTAAAAGACGGATTGTAAATTTTCTACGAGATTGTCTCTTGGAATTACGGATAAATTGTAAATCTTATTAAAAGGGGGGAGGGATTTATACATTTAAACAAAAAAATCGGTCCAAAAATTCATAGAGAGTGATTTTTAGGTCCATGTCATAACTTTGTCCATTGGATAAGATGATGAAGCTTGGGCTTGTGGTTTTATTACGGACCCTGTATATTTAATCCTGGGTTTCATTACTTAAAAATGGCACTGGTGCAACTCTTAAAAATTTATATTCCTGTCGTTAAATCGTATTTAACTTATAAATTTTTTTTGTATATTAATTAATTTAACCGATGAAGATAAATAAAAACGGTTCCTTTGACTCTCTACTTTATATTGAATTATTTCGGTATATCCTGCTCTGAACTCAAACGAATTTCGTCAATTTTGTACCCAAATACGACATTCAGCTGCTTGAAACTTTAATTAGAATCTGCCAAACTTTATCCCGGAGACCAAAAAGATTTACGCTATCGAGTTTAATTCGAGGGATATTCGGCACTTAGAAAATGAAAACGAAATGACAGTCTGAGGAAGAGTTTTATTTCCCTTCTTTGCCGGCTCTGAAGTAACGAGATTATAACCGCTTTGGAAAATATATAACCGGCGTGCCTTATAAGATTAAGCTACTTACTTTTAGACTCGATTTGTTAAAACAAAGACGGCGAACCTAACTAAAAAAGCAATCCTGAAATGGTTAAGTTTGTTAAAATGGATTGTCACGCGTGCAACCAGACATATTTCTGTGGGTTGTGGGTGGAAGTAGGCGTATAACCGTATGTCTTCGGTTTGAATGTGAAATGTCAAAGTTTTGTCTACGATTATTAACCTAGGACCTTTCTTTCCTTTGTATTTGTCCAATAGAAAATATAAATAAGTCTCTATTTATGGATAATA